CCCCCCCCCACCTCACCTGAATTGGTTTCTCATCTTCAGGAGTCTCCCCAACATACCAGGACCGTGAGTGTCATCACGTGGCATGTTCCATCGTACATCCAGAATCTTTAAGGAGGGCCATTTAATTTTGGATTTATTGTTTTTCTCTTTTCGTGGCTTCTGTGGCTTCTGGCTTTCGTGGCTTTTGTCTTTCGTGGCTTCTGTGGCTTCTGTGGCTTTTGGCTTTCGTGGCTTCTGTGGCTTCTGTGGCTTTTGTGGCTTTTGGCTTTTTGGCCTATCCATCTATCTGTCTATATCTATTTGTCTATATATATCTATCTATCGATCTATCTTTCTTTCTTTTTGGCAGCTGTTCTCCTTTCTCTTTTTGCCTTTGCTTTTCCTGTTGTTTGCGTTGCAGAGACGAAACCAAACAAGCAAGCAAGTAAGCAAGCAAGCAAGCAAGCAAGCTAGCCAGCCAGCCAGCCAGCCAGCAAGCCAGCAAGCCAGCAAGCCAGCAAGCCAGCCAGCCAGCAAGCCAGCCAGCAAGCCAGCCAGCAAGCCAGCAAGCCAGCCAGCGAGCCAGCGAGCCAGCGAGCCAGCGAGCGAGCAAGCGAGCAAGCAAGCACCTTTGGATCTGGTGTGCTGCTGGGGGGGCGCTGCGCCCCCCCCCAACCACCCCCGCGCCACGAAATCTGCACTTCATCCCCGACACCCGCGCCTGCCACGAAATCAATATTTTAAGGTGAACCCCCCCGGTGCAAAAATTTCCAACCAAGCAAATATGCCTCCTCTATCTATCTATCTGTCTGTCTATCAATCTTTCTATCTTTCTTTCTTTATCTATCTATCTATCTATCTATGTATCCATCGAACCATTTATCTTTCTATCTTTCTATCTGTCTATCTGCAGCTCAACATCCACAAAGTACTACACCTGCCACGAAATCTGCACTTCAAGGTCCACAAAAAATCCTGCGCCTGCCACGAAATCTGCACTCCAAGGCCCACAAAGTCCTGCACCTGCCACCAACTCTACACTTCCACATCCACAAAGTCCTGCACCTGCCACGAAATCTGCACTCCAAGGCCCACAAAGTACTACACCTGCCACGAAATCTGCACTTCAAGGTCCACAAAAAGTCCTGCGCCTGCCACGAAATCTGCACTTCAAGGTCCAGAACGTCCTGCACCTGCCACCAACTCTGCACTTCCACATCCACAAAGTCCTGCGCCTGCCGCGAAATCTGCACTTCAAGGTCCACAAAGTCCTGCGCCTGCCACGAAATCTGCACTCCAAGGGTCACAAAGTACTACACCTGCCACGAAATGTGCATTGCAAGGTCCACAAAGTACTGCACCTGACACGAAACACGAAAAACAACAAACATGCAACAAAAAACACAAAAATATCCAAAATTAAGTCGCGGCCCAATCTTTATCGAAACAGATGATCAACGAGGGAAATCAGAGACATCCTCTCGTTGGGTGAGTTTGCGCACTTGATTGTTCAGGGGCTTGGACACGCCCGCGCGCGTCACTTTAACGGATCATCCCAGGCGGTGCTACCGGAAAGTCTACAACCAGGTGGTGGCGGGCTTGCAATGCATGTGGGACAGAGGCTCGACACACGCAGCAACCGGTGCAGTGCGCCTCATGCTCGGGATCCGCCCAAGAGATTGACGTCCATAGGATCTCCACCTAAATCCGACAGATGCGAATCTATAGAGATGCCATCTTCGGCCGACCAAGAGGGGCGGCATCTCAAGCAGAAAGGAGTTTTCCCGGCTCAAGTTGGTTGTATCGCCCAACAAACCCATCTCGCCCATATGATGCCATACGGCAATGTATTTTGTTGACGTTCCTCAAGCCGCGTAGTTTGACTATGGGGTATGCTTCGGAGGTATACTTGGAGACCTTAAAAAAGGACAAACCCATAATATCATGGTTTTTGACTTCCCCAAAACGACCCCTGGTTGTCAGGATCGGCAGAGATGGCAGTCCCAGACGTCGGTCATGGGTCATGAGGTGAGGCGAGATGCTACTCGGCGCTACTCGAGGTTGGATTCACAACGACGTGAAAGCTGGGAACATCTTCTATGAGCGCATCGGTCAGGACGGCTGTCCAGACTCTTGGCATCCGACGCGCTGGAGATGGATCTTCAGGAGTGGAATACACTTCAAGCTGGCGAACACATCAGACCTGGGTCTTTGAACATCTTTGGACCATGGATTTACGAAAAAACAATCCCTGCCAATAAAGCTCACCCCAATCACAGTGGATGCAACTATCTCCAGATTAGGAGTTTTGACCGATACATGGGGTCATTTTCATGTAACTCTTCCATACAATGGATGCGATATGATGCGATGGATGCCCTAAAAAAGTGACCGTGGCCCAGGAAGGAGTGGTCTTGGCCGACTTTGGCCTCTCCCGCCAGATTGGCCACTCCATACGCTGCCTGGTCTGACCGGAAGTTCAGTCGGCCGGTTGGGAGAAGCGGAGGCTTCAAGAGCCAGCCGTGAGGTGGATCTTCAATCATCCCAGACACTCCATAATGATCGTGAAAATAGAATCTATGTTTGGATTGATGGTTTCAAGGGTCAATGTAGGCATATATATCGTATATATATATATTATATTATTTAAACATTACTAAACCATATCTTGTAAAGCGGGCTATAGAGCTCTCACGATGTTTTCCATCGGCTCTTTTTGCCCACGTTATCATCTTCATCACCTAGTACTTGCACGTTGTGGAACGACAGTATGGAATCGCCACTTTGGGAGGTTGCTCTCCTCTTCTTTGGACCATCGTCCAGCCTCAGGTCCCTTCGATGAAGAAGATTACATGTCGGCCTATTATGTGGTTGAAAGCCTCTTCTATGGTATGGAGGAGACATTTGTGTGGTTCGAGCAAGATATCTGACGGCCTTGAGGTTCCGCAAAATCCGCGTGAGGTTTGTTGGTGGGACGGTGGGATGGATTGGGATGATGTGCAGAAACTTCAGGTTCCGTTTGGTGTCTTTTCAACTGCGAAAACACACGTTCCTCCAGGACCCGCTGAAGATGCGGAAGAGCATCATCCAATAACGAAGGCCTCCAACCGACAAGCGACGGCCTCCAACCTAGTAATTAGCCATGGCCTCCAACCCTCCCACAATGCTCCTCCAGGACCCGCTGAAGATCAGGAAGAGCTTTGAAAAAAAGAACGGAGGAGGTTCAGTTGTCAGGGCAGCTGCAGACAAAAAGATTGATTTGTGCCATGGCCAGGTCTTTTTTGTGCGTAAGATGGTGAGACGTACCATCACGTGTTTTTGGTGGTGTCGTTGGCGGAAGATCATGGTGTCCAGGAGAGAACAGAGGGTTGACTCTCAGCAGTGTTTCAGCAGAGTTGGCCAAGAACCCAATTGAATTTGTCAAATTTGTCCTGTTTGTTGCTTCAAAGGGCCACAAGACCTAACACATTTGGACATTTGTCGATTGCGAGTTCGTGAAGGAGCGAAGCCCCGTGGGTTACTTGTTTTAAATCTTTTTGGCAGTACAAAGATCACAAGAACCGGAGATTGATCCGCGCCGGGGCTGCTGAAAGAAACACACCTGTGTTCAATTGTTTTCATGTAAAGGAACATCCATATATATATATACATATATATATATATTTATTATATTGGGTTGTCGTATTAACCGTAACAGTCAGTTCACAAGCAAATCACTTTTTTTGAACAAATCCTGCAACTGAACCATCATCATCCACTGGGCCCTGAATGACATGGATAGGCCCAACATGCTTTTTTTGTGAGAAAGCGGCCGATCTTGGAGATTTCCAAACATGGGACTGGACAACAGTTGGTTTCTCACACAGGCGGGAAGATGAACTACCACCCTTTCCCGCTTCAATCCAATGGTTTTTACACTCATCCGCCCGGGACAAGTGGAATAGTCAGATGTGCGGATGGTCAGCAACGCCAAACTTTTGCCCTAAATAGCGTACCTTTCGTACTTTTTTTGCTTTCCCAAGACAATAACCCACAGCTCACAATGGAAAACAGCACCTCTGACCGAGGTGCTCCTTCGCCTACATGATTGATTCCATCTGGGGCAAAGCAGAACGCACCCTCCAAAAGATCTTGGGTCCCGGCGCTTGTGGCCCAATGGGCTCTGGACGCCGAAAGCTTTATCCTTGACCGATGTCCCTGACCCTATCCGCACCGGACAAAAGCACCGAGGGGAGACGGGGTGGAGAGGGGTGGCTCTTGGGGTCTTCAAACGGAGCGTTTTGATGAAGATTGATCCCAAACCATTCATGTACACTCTGACGAACACATCACGAACTGGATGGCATGGTCCCTTGGAAGACTACTTTCCTTTACGAACAGGGGGGTGAACTCCACTTCCATGTTAGTGACTGTTAGTGAGTCGAAGGGTATAGTCGCGAATAGATGTACGGTATCCGGCCCAGATGCATCTCTTGGGGCCATGTATGCCATGTATGCCTACATTCACTCCCCAAACCCACCCCCAATGTGGGCAAATATGGCAGTCCCATGGAGTGTTTCAGCAGTGAATATTCCCCTCGAACACAAGGGCAGGAACTACACACATACATACGCAGTATTAAATCTATTTTTGTACGATGTCATTCAGTTCAGTTTCGTTGCAGACGGGCAGAGGGAGTTGCCAAATCTTTATGATTTATTTTTTGTTTATTCAACCATGGAATATCTTTTTCGCTGCAACCGCCCAAACCTGCGATGACTCATTTAGTTAAGAGCGGTTGTGAATGTCAGGGATCTGGCTAACACCTGCAAGAGCGATAGGGGTTTCCCTCAGAAGCTGTCATCACGTCGCTGCAGTTTTTGGATTCTGTTGACCAAGTGACTGGGGCCGACGTTTGTGAAGGCGCTAGACCGAGCAGTTTGAGCGAGAACCGTGCTTGTTGAATCACATGTTCTCGTTAGCAAGACGCTGATGGCGCTCCCATTGGCCTTTTCAAGTCCAGTGTGACACGGTCACGTAGGCCACGTGGAGCTTTGCCAAGTCTTGCTGCGATTCCCAGTGGCCCGGCTAGTTTGGGCCTCCGGGTGGAGCTGAAGCCCATGGATGCCCCCCAAAAGGGCTTTAATAAGACTTTCCTCAGAGGGGGCCCCAGAAATTGATGACTGAAGAGTCGAAGATGTGGAGGTTCTTCCGGCGGGCACGCAGGGCACGTGGCAGGCATAACTCTTAGAGCGATTGGTTGGCCTATTCCTCTCCATTATGCTGACTCTTGAACTTGATTGGATTCATCATTTTGATTCATTTGGGGTCTACATGGGAGATTGTGAGGGGTCACATGACCAAGACTCACCCACCTTCGCCAACACAGGTCTTTGCTTCGGAGCTTCAGTGGCCCGACCACTTCGGGCGCACGGTCCTCGGCGCCGCTCGGAGGGATATTGGATGAAAGGTTTGGGTGGTGGTTTTCTCCCGCGTGAACCCCAAAGCCCCAGAAAGTGAAGTACAAACACATGGTTCTTGTTCAGGTCACATGGTTTGGAAACCTTCAAGTCTTGCAAAACAGATTCTTTTGGATTCAAGGGCCTGGGTTCCAAGCAATATGGCTCTGTTGTCGAATCACACCAATCGTGCGGGTGTATCCCCTGTAACTGGTTGCTGATTGGCCCCAACACTTCTTTCCCCGACTTTGACAGGTGACACCAAAACACCAAACGGAGGCCACCAGGGCCTCGGTATTTGAAGGACGTCATCGAGTGTCATCGGTCACAGATCTTTCTTTGATCCCCCAAAAGCCCGCCAAAGCCTTCCATCCCTCCACTGAAACCATCTGAAACCATCTGAAACCATTTGAAACCATCTGAAACCATCTGAAACCACTGACCCAGACTTCTCCCCTCTCCTCTCCTGTCACAGCGTCGATCCCTGCCGAGGTCGGGACGGAAGAAACACCGGAGGAGTCGTCTGCAGCCGTCGTGGTGGGGGTTGGACGGACATATTACCAATGGAACCCAAAACCTACGAATTGGTCGTGTCTGATGGAAAACATCGTGTTTGGGCTCCACTTGACTAAAAACATCGTGTTTGGTTCTCTAGGTAGGAGATGACCAGGGAGATGTGTTGAATGTCTTCCACTAGGAGCATCCTGTCGGGGTGCCCTGGCTGGACTATATCTCAATTATGGATCTCCAGACGACACCCAGACCGGATGGTCCAGAACTGGAGTTTCTGGGTTTTGAGTTGAGGTGAAGGCCCTTTGGGCCGTTCGAAGTCCGACTGGCGTGAACCTTGCGCAAAGCCGCAAAGCCGGGGGCCATGACAAGGATGGTCTATTCCCAGACACTCCATGTATGCCATATTTACATATGCCTCAGCACATGCCTACATTGGCTCCCCCAACCAATCCAACTGATCAGCAAATATGGCAGTCTCATGGAGTCTTTGGGATTCAGGACGATTCACTTTTCATGATACATTTTTTCAGTTGCTAAATTGCCGCTCCAAAGAGTCCTGACAGCTTTTCTGTTGGTGTAACATCGAGTTATTGTTGATGCGTTGGACACAGATCTCACCTCTTCGTCGACTTTGCTTTTTTGGTGTCGCTGAACTGGTGGGTCGCCAGCGGACCGCCCGAGGGGTCCGACCCATTGGCAGATCCACTCGGAGATCACGGGCGCAATGCTACAGTCCCTGGAATCATCATGGGGCCCGTGGATGGCATAGCCATGAGTTCGGAAGACCATGAAATCCGAATTAAGAGTGGGGACTTCCTCTTCCATGATGATTCCAAGGAGTGTAGTATGGATCCAAAACATATAGTAGAACCCATGGACACCCGGAATGACTGCTAAGGTATTGGGCGATTCATAGACCCCAAACAGGGGGTGCTGGTAGATGCATCATATAGATCTACTTATGTAAAGATTCTTAATGTGGATACTCCAATGATCTACAATGATATTTGATTCATGTTGCAATTCTACCATATTTTACCTCTCCTTGCGACCATCCTATATTCTGACACAGAGTTCCTCATGTTCATCTCCATGTTATAAACCTTGGCAGTAGGATTAACGCAACAATCAGGAGCAAAACGAGTGCAAAGCCCATGACCAAGACCTGCTCACCACGTGGCTTCTGACCTTTCAGGGTCTGAAGTTGTAGGGATCTGAGGATCATGTGACCTCAGGGATCTGACGAACTGAGGATCGTGTGTCACCTTTGACATGGAAGAGTTCCAGGGAACTGGATTTCTCATAGACCTGCAAAACAAGCGGCACTACATGGCACTATGTGGCAAACTCATGCAAACTCAGCTCTCCCAAAGTCCGATCGAAGACCAGATCAGGTCTCCATGTGTCCGACAAGACACCACCATGATGGGTCACATTCTTCGGATGCTTGGACTTCCTGAACCCCAAAAGCTTCCACATTCGTCACAGCCTCTGACTGCCCATGGGGTCCCCTTTCGCCAGGACTGGCTCTCCGCCGCGGAGGTCGCTGAGCGGCAACGCCGCTTGCGGCTGCAGATGGCGGAGGCGGCGCTGGGCGCGCGCTTGGTGCTGCCGCAGACGGTGACGCAGGAGAGCGCAGACGGTGCCAATGGGAGCAATGAAATAGGGAGATAGAACGAGGGACATCCATAGCTGATTTGGTGGTGGTTTCAGATATTGTTACGTTCAACCTTTCACTTGGGATGATTAAGCTCACCGACTCATATCGTTCAAGTGAGTTGAAACCACCAACCAGATAAAAACAATTGAAAGCACAATCCATATCCATTTATGAATGACCCGAATGGATTTGTCACTATTCCAAATGTGTGGATGATGTGGGAATGGGTGCTGGAGAATGAAGAGGAACAAACCAAGTTAGCTAAGACGGCCAGGATAACTGCATGTAACCATTATGGACCAGCAAGCAAACCAAGTCAGAGCAGCAGGAGTCCATGGGTCAGACGTGGTGCATGGACAGTTATTTGTGTGAGAAACTCACAGTGTCGCAACAATGCAAGATCCAAACATGCAACCAGTACTGTACCAAAGTGCCCAGAGATGTGGAGGCACCTTTTGTGTGTTTGACCTCCGGGACGTTCGTCCTTCCATGCTGGGTAGACTGGTCGATTCCTTCTTCTATTCCCTTCCGACCACCGGGACCCACTGGGGGGTTGGAACGGCAGGTCTCCCATGGTTCTCCCTGCCATTGGCCGGACGTGTCAACCGATCCAACTGGGTGGCGCCATCGGCGACTTCGGACGTCACGAAGTGGGCGACGGCAGGGACTCAGAATGGTCCTGGAGTGACCCAGCGATTGAGTTGGAGGGTTTCACGTACGACGGACGGGTGCATCCCTTTCTGCAATGAGCTGCTGGAGAATGGCCTTGCCAGCCACGGCAGTGAACCACTGAGGGAACATACTTCTGCCCAAAAAGACATTCAAAAGACACTCATGTGAGCAATGTTCCCACGGGCAAGCTGTGTCTTGTTGTTTTAATATGTGATCTGATCTCTCTACTCATTTCATCGGTGGGGACACTGTCGACTGGTGACTTAAGTCGCTCAGTGGTCCAATTCCCCAGCGACGTAAGCAGTTACAGGTTTTGCCACCAAACATGAACTCCAGTGCCATGACGATTCGCCACGTTCACCCAGTGCCCTCGGGAAAAAACATCATATCAATGCATCATGGGTTTGCCCAAGATTGGGACATGATTCTCCATGCTTTAGGATGTTCACCGGTTAGGAGGTTAGGAATGTTCCTTCCTCACTTGCGAAGTTCCGCGCCTGACGTGGTCGACGGTGTGGGGTCTGACCGATCGACCGGACGACTGAGGAGCATGCAGGCAAGCTGCTGCAGAAGGCCACCAGGTGCGAACACGGCAGTGGACTGGCAGTGGACTTTAGAGTCGAACCCAGGGAAGGAACCATTGAGGAAGGAACCAAGGGAAGGAACCATTCTCCATCCATTTTTGGAGAGCTTTGGAGGGAGAGACTTCCATTGACAGGTGTTGAGCTTTGCGTTTTCAGCGCACTGGATCAAGAAACTGGCAGAACCATGAACATGAGATTTCTGCCAAAAAGGATGTCAACCTGCTCTGGGCAGTGAGAAGGCTTTGGGGCTTTGACTCCAAGGTGGTGACATTCTGTCTTCAACCTGTGATTCCACCTGGATTTCAACCTAGATTATTGCAGGTAAAGGTTTTCAAACCACATCGAATCAGTGTCAAATCACCCACGCAACGCAGCGTATCCTTCAGCACCTGCCCGGTCGTCAAACACGTCCGCAATAAATTCTGATTGGGCCTACAGGTCCAGTCTGACCCAGTAGTAAAACCTACCTCATTGAGCAGTGTTTTGCATGATCAACTCCAGTAAAATGATGTAGAATGAGGTCTTTGACCTGCAGGGTTAGCGATCAAGCGCCGACTGTGCCAGGTGTCTGATTCTAGGATGCGAATAGGCCTTGAATGCTCAATGCTCAACCCTACATATAGTTCTTCAGGTGGCACGACGCTCACATGACGGAAGAAGCCCACCCACGAACCGCCCCTGGCCGTCTCCGCTCTTCCGGTCCTGGCTGTCTCCCTCTGCTTTTGGTCCGAGGCTGGCGGCGTGGACTGGTGCAGAACCGGAGCTGAAGGAGGCTGGACCAATCAGTTTGAGGGAGTGGATGGAGCAAAGCGGGTGACGATGAAGGTGACCTGTGCGAGATCTTCCGACCTGGGGACAGTGACGAGGATCGGATGGAGGTGGGACACCGACCATCCACTGGAGGACGTTATAGCTAAGGGTCATAGATGGGGTCAAACCGTTGAATGTACGGGTCGTATGTAATACGATGTACACGCTGACGAATACATCACATGGAGGTGGAGGAACTCCAGGCGCCTGGAAGGGTCCCTTTTCTCCAGATCTCCAGGTGGCCCGGTTAGAACGACACTTCCATGTGATGTGTTCGGAGGGTACCCTTTGGTGTAACATATTCCAGTCCGGAGTGTTTCACGGATGCGGGGGTTGGGTCGATTGGACAACGAGATCGAACGAGATTCGCCTCAACGCCTGCGATTGCCAACTCGGTCGGCGAATCCATTAGAGAGAACAAGTTTTTCATCACATGAAGCACATCCATCTGCCAAGAGCTTCCACGATTCCATCACGTTCAATTCCTCACCCAAGAAGAAACAGATCATTTTTTGAGCCGAACCTTGAAGAAGCCCAATCCATCCCATTGAAGACTCGTTAGTTGAGAAAGAGTCATCGAAGCTTCTTTCACTTTTGGAGTTGCCAATGTTGAATAAGTATACTTTGGGAAATAAGTTGGGTCTGTCCTAAGTAAAGCTGTAACAGTCGGCAAACAGGCATATCAGTACAATTTTTGGACAAAGCCTACAAACTAACCATCATCATTTACTGGGCCCTGGCAATAGGATAGACCCGAAGTATACGTTCCAATATTTCATCAAGGAGAAGGAAGCACGGTCTCGCTGATTCATTATTGTTGTGACTTCACAGTCTCGTTTTCTCCGGTGCATCCTTCCGAATCCTCCTGTTCCTTTCACCACAGCAAGCTGTGGAGGATTTCATCAAGGAGTTGAAGGGCATTGGGGCGGCTCTGCCCAGTGGCATTTGAATTAACCAGAAAAACAATACAGGGCCTATTAACCTGTAGGAGTTAACCTAGTAAACCTGTCCTATTAACCTGTATATAATTGTTGCTCTTCTCATGATTATTCCAAGGAGCCTTGTCCCACTTTGATGATTGTTGGCAAGATGCCTCATGGATTTCTTCTGCGCCACAGGAAGCACCAAGCCAAAAGAAGGTCGTTTTGCCTTCAGGCTTGTTGATTTCGGGAGCGGAGCTGGGTGGTGACATGGGTGTATTTTGGCGTTTGGGAAGCCTCCCAAAGGCATTGTTTACAAGGGAAGCTCATAATTACTATGCAAGACTTACCGACTCACCGATGGGCTACGCGGCTACCCCAGAATAATTTATACAGCGGCTTCCATTCTTAGATGATTCAGATGAATACAAGCCACTGATACGCTCCGGTTTATATACATGTAACCCCCAGTCCTGACCCCAGCACTGCTGGCAATGTGTTTCTTTTTTCTTTGGAAGTCTAATGTTGGCTCTTCATGGATAGAACCCCAATGTGACGATGTATAAAACCATTCTGGACACGGGGGTTTGATTCATAAGCAGTCTACATAAAGGTCCAAGACAAACCCCAAGTGCCTAGGCAACAAAGTCCAGATATGTCCAGATGAAACCAATGAAGAGACCATAACCAGTGTTTTGGCGATCTGTTCAAACAACTGCACATATATATATAATATATTTCTTGCGGGGACAACCAAGGAAAACCCAGAAAGCTTGAGGTGTCCATTGATTTGCCTTAAGGAGCAGGTGTTTCCTTAATGTTCCCCGCTCACTTTCAACATCCAGGGCATTATAATCCATTGCAATGTGGCTTTCTTCCGCATAGAGTAAAAGCTTTTACATGTTCTGGCCAGGACTGATGCAGGCTCTGTAGGGCGTCTTGATTGCAACACTGTTCCTTCCAGGCAGCTGACGACTTGAAGAAAGTCAACTGCGACCAATTTGATTTGTACTGTGACCAACACATAAATCAACCGCAACACACATATATATATATATTCGTTCACAGTTAGTACAGTGTTATTTTATTTGTGTTATTTGTACTGTGCTTTACAAATTGGATCAACATTTACCGTAGGTTGTGACCATGGCATTTTGAGTTTGGCCTTGGACACAAAGGTTGTGAACAATGATGCCCAAGCATGCCCTAGCCAATCCCTAATTTCCAACTGCATGTTCAGACCGCTTAGGGGTGACATATGTTCAGACCGCTTAGGGGTGATGATGAAAAAGAACGTGTATACATGTAGCCAGCATATGCCAGCATTGAGCTGATCTTGTTGACATCAATGTACCCTCTGTTGACGATACATGCAGTTTGTGCCTGTTTGTACATCGTGTCTTACTCTATCTTCCACGTCTCACAGACACAGAACAGACTAACAACATATATAATCATAACAACAATTTACAGTAAAGTAATATAGACTATACAATTCTATATAAATATTATGTGTGATATGTGTTTTACAATGTGTTACACAACATTATACGTTATGATCCGTCATGTATGGCACCAGGTCCCCGGAATCGGGCGGGCAGCCCCGTCAGACGGCGGGAGCTGGCGAAGGCGGCAGCCAAGGAGGCCGGCTTTGGGCAGCGTGTGCACTGGGATGGTTTGGGTGCTTTGTTGGGCTTGGACTTTTTGGTGGGTTTGATGGTTTCCCCAAAAATAAGGCCCCATGGTGACCACCTTGGAGTAAGTTTCAACAGCGTTTGCTAGATTGATTATTTTGATGTTCAACCAGACCAATCAGGCCAATCGTTGTGAAACCCAATGTTCTTACAATTTGCAAGTTCGACGATCAGGTCTTGATTCTTTTTGTAACGATTGGTTTCGGTGATGTATTATCCCATCAAACTCTTGGCTGAAATCCCAGGAGCTTAGAGGCTTAATGAGGCTTAGATCGATGTGAGCCAAGAGTTCTGAAGGGCTTGGATGGCTTACATAGGCGACCACTTCCTGACCAATGCTTTTGGGGCATGTCAATGTGTACGTATGCCTGCACAAATCTCATGTTTGACTCTGTTTAGGTGCCACCCATATTGTTTCACAGATGAAGCATTGATTCTTGGTCGCCGCAAGAAAATTAGATTCTTGTTAGTTACGGGTAACATGTTTGGGGGGTAGCAAGCTGGTGCTCTGGAAGATCATAACAGGGTTTCTCACATGGACTGGTTGCCACCAAAATAGCTTGTTTGTGGTTTCATTCGGAAACCTTGGAGAGCAAGGAGACGTTGCCCACCACACACCTGAAAATCATTTGATGAACACCAACCTCCGGGGAGCTTGAAAAACCCCGTTTCTTTCCTGTACGCAGCCCGATCCTCCAAACCTAGCAGGGCTTGGAAAAAGGAAGGGCAGACCGATCCTCTTGGGCCTCGGGGGTCCGACCGCAGCTCCTTTCCGACCCCGTTCGGGTCCGGCGCCCGGCGCCTGGGATTCGGGTCCGACGCTTTGGGCGTTGGAGGAGGATCCCCAGTGCGATCCCAGTTGGTCACCACTATAGGGAAAGAGGACTGCGCATTCTGGAAGAGGGTGCCAGCACGGAAGAGGGTGCCATGGTCGTGTTTGGAGGTAGACAGATGCATCAGTGAGAGAAGTGACGTGCCTTGCGTTCGGCTTTGAACGTCTTGCTATAGTGCCCCAAACAGCTTGCCAAGCCCGCCGTGACATCGCGACGTTGCTCGAAGGCCTTTGGTGAAGAAAACAAAACCTGTTCTCTTTGAACTTGAACTCGATTTCTTGGTCTGCCCTTCTGCCGGGAGGTGAAGAAATCAACCTACAGGATGGTACTGTACCAGTCACCTTTCGTGGCAGTTGTGGCTTTGAGCCCATTGCACGATGTCTTCGAAGGAGCTCGCTCAACTAGAAGCATTTAGGTTAACTGTTTTCAAGTTTGCCACAGCTCCCGGGGAGTGCACCGCTGAGCAGTTGACACACGTATATAATCATAGGTCTTTGGGAGATTGGGGATGCCAATTGAATTTGGACATGGATGGACCAAAAGCAAACCTGAGCCTCCTTGGACAATCCCATCGTCGCATCTCAAATTTTGGGGGTTCTTTGCCAATTGGCCAATGACCTTTGGCTATTGTGCTCCCACCACCTCACGATGATTGCTGAACAGCTTGCATCAAACATGTAACTTAACAAATCAATTGAACGCGTGATTGCCCAGACCTCCCATGTATGGAATAGTTACAGACATATATGACCCCAACTGGACTCTGGTGTATCAACATGGATGAGTTGGCTTGGGATGCTGAACGAAGGCCCCTGTATGACTCTATGCCGATCTATGCGGCTTTCAGTTTTTCACCTTTGGGGAGGGATGCACACATTGGCGATAGGCAAAGAGGACAAGAGCTGGTTGATGCCCTGGTTACAGAGCATGCGTCATGTGCTTTTTGGGCGGAAGCAAGATGCCCCAGTATGCCAGCTGTTGCTTTTGCTGCTCTTCCTTTTGCTGAAAAAAAAGAACTCACCACGCCACAGAACCACCAGAAAAACACCACCTCTGTTCACGCTTTGCTGCTCTTCCGACCGCACTTTTGTTCCAACACCTGCTGGACACCAGAACCCTTTATTTCAATTTCGCACTGTTTGCATTGACCTCCCGACACTGGATGAAGAACTCCCACGCGGGCTGCAGCCAGGCCACGCGGGCTGCGGAGGCCTCTCAGTTCTTGGCATCCCTGGAGGCTCTAAGGCCTTTGGGCCGGCAACTGGAATCCTTGCGCGAGGCGGGCAGAGCTTGGAAACTGAAGAAATGGCAGTGGGTAAAAACCAGGACAACTGGAAGGTCAAGCTACAGACTGGACCCGGTTTTGACCCAGCCCATATCCCCAAATATAACTACTAGCTGCCAGCTTGAGGGGAAGACAGGAGTTGCCGAGATCCAGTCTTCAAACTGAGGAGCGCCTTAGATGAATGAAGTTCTGTTTCTCCTTTGGGTTGCGGGCTTCAGCAGAGCTTCAGGATTATTGCCACACTTGATTTGTCATGTCAGTATCGTTGGTTCAACTGACAGTGCCGTCCGGCTGTCCCAGCAATGCTGTTTGTCTATAGAAGCTTCGATGCTTTTTTTCGGCTCCTGGCCATCAAAAGGAAAGACCGCAGCGTATGACCGTCTCAGAGTCTCCCACACGCTGGCCAAATCGGGGTTTATGACAGCAAAATGATGGCCCAGGGGCCCAGAGTGCAGCGTTGTCATCGCCGTTTTTTGTGCACCACGTTCGCCCACAAATGGCCATCTGAATCGGAAGGACCATCAAATGTTCTTTACCGTCTGAAGACCGTCCTGGGCGTCTGAAGACCGTATTGAGTCAGTTCGCGTTTCGACGCGAAGCCCGCAGAGAATCTGAAGACTTCGATCAGCTTGATCTACCGGTGAAGACAGGCGCAGCCAATCCGTAGTGAAAACCGGCAGTTCCAAGGACCCAGGTCTGAATTTGAATGTATTGGATTCTGAGGATATTTGGCATGTGGCCATTGATTTTGAGGATTCTTAAGGGTGCTTCCAACTGCGTCCAAGTGCTTGAGAAGCCAAAATACTGCCCAAGACTTGAAGGAGTGTCCCAAATGCTGCCAGAAGACCGTCAGGTTTGTTGGTATTCAGTATTCATTTGAACAAGTGGCTCCTATGAACTCGAGGAAACTGGAGTCGAACGAATCCAGCAAAGCAACAGCTGAGAGACAGCTCCGGGCTCAGTGTACTGAACGACCTTGGTCAAGAACAGAAGAGACATCATCCGATTTGGACTACACTCCAAGAAGCTCTACCAGAACTGTATGGTGTTGTGTTAAGCCATGTTAAGGTAGTTTTCCACTTGATGCTTGCCTTTGGTAGAGCAGTTCTTTCTCAAAGCAGTGAGCCCTCCTGGTCCAAGATATTTGTCTAGTTTTACAGGGTTGCAGGGGTGTCTCCCTACTCTCATACCTCATACCTGATCACTCCCGTCCCCACAAAAAGGACATAACAGCAAAAGAACCCTTTGAGTCAGGCCCCTCAAGACCACTATCATCGCCTCATTTACCGGTCAGGTCAAACTCCCCCTCATCCAGTCTCCAGTCGACCTCCATCCGTCAGGCTGGCACAGCCCCCACCACCACAGCGCAGCCAGTGCAGCCTCCGCAGCCTGCGCAGCCTGCGAATGCGGGGTCGAAGGAGCGGAAGCTCGAAGAGATGTCCCAGAGGGTGGCAGTCATGGCCGTCATGTTGACTGGACTCGACTTCATCAATTATCTCATATATTCAAACCTCACGAGGAGTTCGCAGTATACTTCTGAGGATGGATTTTGGCCCGCTGGAGATTTTGCATCATCCTAGTTGAACAACTCACGATGGGTTCTCCACATTCCAGGCAGGATTGCAGTGACCGAACACCCCCAGAAGAGGCCCAAGATGATCGCAGGTTGTTTATTCATGATCACTTCAGACTGCTGTGTCATTCTAGTGTCAAAAGATCGGACGATCCTCTCTGGGTGGGTATCATTTCTGCTGTTTGATCCCATTATGTCAACAGTTCCCTTTTTGGACGCTCACTGGATTCGGAAAACCTATCCAGGATAGCCTCTCACAGAGTCGAGTTTCTTGACCTTCCAAAACGAGTTTCGCGGAGTTTGCCACCCATTTCCTAGAAACACACGTGATGCTGTAAGGGGTAGTACCTACATGTACCTAGACTAATGGTTGCTTCAAACAGGTTCTAATTTGCTTGTGCCCCACTTGCGCAACCTGTTTGCTCTAAAGCATCCTCCAGGAAATCCCCTTTCCGGGCAGCGAACCAGGAGTGCGTCCGAAACAGGACTGGTTCCTACACATTGAACCCTGATTTTCCAGCGATCTCTGGCCCCCCGGAGCCAGTCTCTATAGGTCTAACACAGGGTACGGGGTGGTGATGGCCGGTGGGCGGTTGGAGTCGGTGAGTGGTGAAGACTGGTTGTTGACCCAGCTCGAGGCGTCAATCAGACACAGAAGAGGCGAAGAAGGCGTTTAATTGTTGAGTCTTAAGATCCAAACACATCTCCATTGTAATGTACTGTAATACAACACCTGCATGGAGAGGCATAGGCTAAGCCTATAGAGCCAACTCGAAGCCTCTGGACCTCCTCCTGGGTCACATGGTCCATTGAGTCACTGCCGTTCCGCGAAGTGCTGACCGCAATAAGGACTGCGACGGACATTCCGGCAGAGCTTCCGGCAAGAACTGCAGAGGAAAAGGAGGTGGTCAAAGATGCGAAAGATGCTTGGATGTATATATACATCAAATGTATTGATACCCACTCCTTATACATGGAATATACCCACTCCTGTATATACATCGAATTTTGCTCTGTTTCTTTGTTGACCCTTTCAGGTGCATTTGATGAGTAGAGCGGCTGCCCGGGAGTCGACTCCTTTCATCCAGACGGCCCCAATCGAATTCTCGGGAGTCGACGCGAGGTCGGTGTTGGGTCGGACATCCCACCCTTCAAGCTGGATGAGTGGCCCACCCGTTAGGATGAGTTCTGATGGTGGTTTTTTACAGAACACCATGGGATTGTTTGGTGCCTCGGTCATCAAGTAAGGAGCTGAAGGAAGCGCCGGAAGTGATTCCGGACGAGAAGGAGCCTTCAAGAAGGCAGCTTTCTGAGCCAAAGGTGGTGACGAAGCAAGAGGATCTTGAGCTTGAAGCAAGAGGATCTGTCCAGGAAGTGGAGCTGGTTCAATCAGAGCCTCCAAGACGGAGGCCTGATCCAGAGCCACATTTGGACCTTGTAGACCCTGCCAAAGAAGCGGAGGAGCTAGTTCAATCAGAGCCTCCAAGACGGCCTTCAGATGCGAAGCCATCCAGATCAAGCACTGTTGCCGATGGTGAGGAAGCACCGCCAGAAGCTGGGTGATGGTTTCAGTCAGCTTCTACCCTCCCTGGAAAAGTTAACTACAACAAAGTGCTAGGTATTCCACATGATCCAACAAATGCTTTTTCCAGGGGACATTTTCCCACTTCCATGATCATTCCAGGGAGTGTCGTTGTCACGTCCATTCCGAGATGAGTTTCCTTCTGTTTGGTGGCTGACACCATTCCTCAAAAAAAAAAAACACATTCCAAAGGCTTGCATTGTTAGTTCTCCATCAATTCCTTGGACAAATCGGCAGCAGATTTGGGGGTTGATCACTTCTGACACAATTACATGTACGATTGCTGTATGATTATTTTAAATACATCGCCAGCTCAGAGACTCACCCAATCTCACCGACTCTTAGAAGGTGCTGGTATGAAGGTGCCTATGTCGTCGCCCCAGTTTGGTTCCTGCCGTATCAACGGTCCCGGCCGTTTCTTGGCAAAGATGGCAGTCACAAACAGATCATCTCTGGGTGATTGGCATCCGTTTTTTCCACCGTTCTTGCAGGCTTGCAGGCTGTGCCACCAAGAACCGCCCTGGGCGGTGACTTCGGTTGGTGGTGGTTTCAGATCTTTTTTGTGAAAAACCTTTGAAGTCACATGTCACATGACTCATGTGTTTTTGCGGTTTTTGTATGTTTTTGTGAGTTCAACCCCCCTAACTTACCTAACCAGTCTTGCAAGGTTCTGATTTTTCAAACACACCGTCTGGCCTGCTTCTTTTCCGTCTTGCCCTGCATTTCGCTGGGCTCATTTTCCTTCTGCCGAGGAGAAGATGCTTACGTCCCCGCCGTGACCCGGATGGTCGTCCCGGTTGACGCGAATGACACGACGGTGGACTGGCATGAGCACGCGACCCCTGAAAGGTATAAATCAAGCCAATGGTATAAGTTTATGCTAGTCCCATGGATATACAGTCCACGGAGTGTTTGGGATTCTTTGTGCGGTCCGGAATGAAGATGAAGGGTCAAGAGTTGGATCTTTGGTCAGGAGTTGATCTTGGACTCTCTAAGACGGTTTGAGACTGAAACTTCCGCCAGCCTGACAGTTCCTGCAAGTCCATGACGTCCTCCCATATAGACCGTCACCCGTGAGACCGTCAAATCGACGACCATTCAAGACCTTGAAGGTGACCATCCTGCGTGAGACAGTCATTTTTGTAAAATATCTTTGTCACCGGTCACTGGATGCCACTGGTCACTGGATGCCACTGGTTCTCTTACATTACATACTTTCTGCAGGTGGATGACTCACATGGATGACTCACATGGATGTCAGAGTGAACCCTAGGTCCTAGGCACACGAGATCCCTTGTTTTGCTAACAGGCTGAGCACAGGCTCTGCCCAGTATGCTCAAAGACCGTGACCGGCCGATTACGTGGATATCCCTCCAATAAACCTAAACGTGGACCCGGTTTGATAGTCGGATTTCCTGGTCTTTCATGCCATACACGTTGGCCCATGAACGATTGTTTCAGGGAGGGTACTCTGAACTCAGAGGTTTCAGGACCAGGACTGTCCTGCAGGGGTGGCTACGGTTAGAGCATGATCGAACGGTTTTTCAAATCAAATGAAAAGTAAAGAGTCTATATATAGTCTACAAGTATACCTTAGAATCAGCTTCCTTTCACCTACCGTAACAACCCCTCAGTGTGCCCACCCTGTTTGGGGAAAAAAAACATCAACCAAATGGATCCAAATGGCTGAAACATCCTCGCTCGAGCCGCGGCACCCAGGCCCGCGCCCTCCGAGCCCCGGCAAGAGATGGCGGGTCAGCCCGGTTGGCGCTAGGTGTTCAGACGTGCCTTGCAGTGTTAGACTCTAGGATCTACCAGCTGGAATCATCAACCACCTAGGCCTACCAAGTATTTGGATGATTGGAACGATCCTTCAAGAGACTAGTGAGCAACCATATTATTGCTATGCTTATTATTAGGATGTATATTAGGATGTATTGCAGTAGTATGTATGTATATATATTAAATTAGAACCCTATTCCGGTGTTGAACCCAATCACAAGCACTGATGTTGGATGATCTTCGTTGGTCCTTGTACAGAATATGTTCTTGATGATGGCTGTCCGGGATGGTCACGATACCCCAAAGACATTCAACAGTTTTTTCGAACCATGCCCATGCCGTCTCTCATCAAGAAAACACCACACGACACACCAAACGACAAAGTCATGTTTTTTTCCGGCTCGGTTCCAGAGACGTGTTGCGTCCAAGGGAGAGACGAAGGCGGACGAGACACTGAGCAAGGCCAAGGCCGCCCACAGCACTACCGGTGGACCAGTCTCAGTACCTTTCGAGCCGCGTCATAGCGATCGATGGATGGTTTGGACATGTTTGGAACCTTCGATTCTGTTTTTGTGGGTGAAATTGAAGCTCCTAGAGCGGACCATAACATTGTTGAATGCACTTTTGGATCCAAAGACCATCTTCTGCAGGTACAAACACCCTCCGATTCGGACGTTTCTGACCCCTTCGGAAAGCTGATAGAGATTGGGGAATCAGTCTAGCAGGAGCAGATTTCCATACTGCTTGCGTCGATACAGCTTTTTGACTTCGCCTCACATACCTACTCAACAACTGAGCAAAGGCTTCAGGATCCTCATAGCTGCTGAGAAAGATGGATGCTTGGTCGATCTTTGCTTCATAGTTTCATCCCTCGTGTGAAGAACATCCTCTATACTAATCCTCAGAGCCAACCTGTTTATCACTCAGTTTTAGTTCATGACCCTTCTTCACGGATGGCCTTGTACCATTGGTTGCTTGATCTACACAGGGGATTGGGAGCATCCCCAAGTGTACAGGCAATAAGTCTATGGTACCCGGCACTGACTCCTCGAATTATTCCCAGAAGGACATGGGGATGGGTCCAAACCTAGAGCCCTGGTCCACCATCTAGAGAACGACCAACACCTGGGTAGGTCAACCAGTCGGTCTCCTTGGTGCCATGGGCCATGACCCACAGCCACATCATTGCCCTTGGTCATGGTGGTATCATGTCATTCTTGCATGCACTGACCGTCATCATGGTTTTCGTTTTCAGCCGAACGTCAGGCGCGCGCAGAGAGGCGGAGACACCGGCCCGCGGGCAACGTGCCTTGGAGGTTTGAAAGAGATTTGGAAGGGGTGTAGCTAGGAGACAATTCTATGCACCTCTCATGAAATACATCAGGCTTCAGCATTGCTTTACAAACCACAATGAGTGTAGGCAGGAGATGCTTTGCCTCACCATAAGGGACCCTAGAGTCCCTAGAACCACTTGGTCGTTGGTGATTCATCGTTCTGATTAGTGAAGCTTGGAGGCTATCATGGGCTCATCTACTTTGGGCTAGCATGGACTTTTTCTTGCCCAGGAGGGCCCTGTTCTACATGCAATTAGTTCTGACACTGCAAACAGCAACTATAGTTTATAGAGAATCCATCATCCCTAGTAGACTCTAGTGGCGACAGTAACATGTATCTTTTTGATGGCAGTGGCAGCACTTGTCCAGGCACTGGATGGAGCGAAACTCGCAGACATTTGCGTGTAGTATAGGCAGTAGGCAGTTGGTCAGTGAAACCACCAGTGGCTCGTACGAACTCCCCCCCCGCACGAACTCATCCCAGATGGAGACCAAAATTCAAACCGAAGTGGAGATGGAGAGCCAACGCCCAAGATACTTTTGGTTCAGATATTTGAAGTCAGACTTTAGTCAGTCCTACATCATCCTACATCCTACATTTGGTGCGCAGCATTTTTTCAAGTGGCCTTTTTCGGGCTGCTTGAGGCCTTCAATGGAACCCTCAAAGTGCAGCCTCGCAATGCGGCCGAAGAAAAGCTGGAAAAGGAGGCCGGGAAGGAGGTTCCTGCGATGATTTCGGAATTGGCACTCGTTTCAAGAGGTAGTTTCAAGAAAGAATCATGGTTCATTTGGGTGCGCCTATCCTGAGGTTTCTGTACTCGGATGAGAAAGAAGAGCACTCAGAGTAGTAGCACTCAGATGTACAGTACTTTGTTTCCATGGTTTCACCACCAAATTCGGGAGTGTTGAGTCGCCAGAATCATGTGTTTCCGTGGTTCTACTCAACCCGGCGGTTCACCGCGATATGGGTCTTTTTCGATCGGTCCCGGGGGGAGTGTTGGAGTGTACTGAGACGGTAAGAGGATGAAGGGCGGAGGATGAAGCAGGGAGCTCTGCACTTGGTGATCGGAACTTATGGATACCCTTTGGAAGCCTCACCACTGGGTGGATCTGGGTGGTAGAATAGTCTGAGTCTTAGATGGGGTCCATGTTCACGGTCCATTTTATTCGGCAGGGGGGGTATGATATGGCTGCTTACATGCTTCAAGGAAGCATCTTGAGCAAACGAGAATAGGAGTGTGAGATTACTGAAGAAGGGATGTTGGCAAAAAAAGATCTGGATTTTTGCGGAATAACTAATTACGGTATCGGTAGTAGGTGGTTGGTGGTCAGCCCCAGACACATATCCAAGATTGTCCAAAGCACCAAAAACTGATAGGGACCAGCCCTATTTACTGGCTGAGCCGCAAAATCTGCTTGTCATGTGATTACTCCATTAATATGATTGATGGACGAAATGCAGCACCAGTCTTGCCCAACTTCACCCAACCACTGTAAGTACCAACGCAAATGAAGGGTTGTGCTGTGTTCCGCTAGTTCATCCTAGTTCCAGGTATTGTTGAACTCCAACCAGTCACATGTCATGATGGTGAAATCATGCACCCACTCTCTTGATGTGCGTCGCATTCGGACACATGAACGGTGTAGCTCAGCTCTGCTTCGCACACCTTTGCGCATCGCATCGTCCTCGTAGTTCTTTTTGTGGGATCCGAAGCCCAATCTCATGATATCATCGTGTGGTCGTTTTTAGGGGGGTTCTGTTGTTGTTGTTGTTGTTGTTGTTTGTTTTAAACAGGCTGTTTCTTGTACTGGTCATGTCTTTTCACCCGGCGGCGCTCCCGGTAGAGCCCAACAACCTCCATGTCCCTCGGTGATGGGTGATTCTCCCCCCTCTCAGGGTCGGCTGAGAGGGTCCGATGTTGAAACACCAGAGGATGAGGGGCTCCAGCGTTGAAGGGCATGTCTTTTCCTGAATGCGTAGCCCGAAGGGCCGCGAAGGGTTCGAGAGTTGAAGCTCTGGGATGCTCTGGGGGTAGAGCCTTGTTCGCGACTTGTTGCTCTCTTTTTTTCAGAACTCTCTTTCTGCCGTGGGATCTTGGAAAGACGGCTTCGAAGTGTTTTTTCTGCAAGGTGCATAAGTCTCTTCTGCAAGGTGCAATGGAAAGGTGGAAACAAAACACTTCTTGGTGTTGTTTTTTTTAGGTGCAGATGGTCATGTCATAACTCCCTTCTACACCTTCTCCCCTCCCTCCAACTACCCACTCGTACCTGCTCGCCTGCCGCCTTTTGGAGGAGGCCGACACCACGGCCCCACCTGCCGCGGCCGAGAACGCGCCGAAGCGGAAGGCCAAAGCCAAGGCACCGTGGTAAGCCTTAGGCCTAGTAAACACCCAGACATTGTCATGGGACTTTGGGACTGGCATTTGTCTGCCAGGGTTTGGTGGGTTCAGTTTCAAGGGTCGATATCCAGGAAGTGTTTGGGGTGTCAATACGTTTGGCTTCCGGATTTGTCTACGTTTGGATCAAATCCTGACTATAGTTTTTTTGTTTGGCAGACTTGGGCAGACGACTTGCCAGGAATTAGGAATCTTGATGAATCTTGTTTAGGGCTGGGACCCATGTTCAACGGAACATGGAGACTGCAAGCATTGATATTAAAAGCTATACTTTTAGCTAGCTTCCATTACCCGAGTCGCCACCATGTCATGTAAGAAAAGGTATTCTTGCTTCGGGTTGTTTTTTTGAGCCACCAGTTGCCATCAACACGAAAATCTCGCTACCACACTTGCTTGGTTTTCAGGATGATCTCTCTGCACTAGGCCTATGAATTGCATATTGTAGCAGTAATTGTATGCTTTGCACCACATTTGTGACGGATGTGTGCCAGGTGAAACTGGGTTCAGGTCTCTAAGACCGCTCGAATCAGATCACTCTGCCTCCTTTCCAGGCACCTTCGAAACCCGTGAAGAGCACGATGATTGGCGTCGGCGCGGCGCAGTTCCGCGTGTGAATGCGGAAAGAAAGCCGTGGCGATGGGGAGGGCGGAGGACTGGGGTTTGCGACCAATGATCATCAGGAATCAGGGTTTTAAAGCCACTCAGGGCAGGTTTTAGATAGGTGCACACCAGTCATTTCTCCGTGTGGGTCAGGTCGTTCCGGTGTTTAGGACAATCGCCACTCGATTTTTGGGTTGAACCCTTGGCCAAACTCATGTGCGGGGCGGTTCCCGTGCCTTTTGGAACAGATGAAACCCATACACTTAAACTTCATATATTAAACTGTAGATCAGTGCCTGTGAAAAAAGAAGAAGGACCAGGACAGGCGAACCGCCTGGATTCACTCACACGGGTGGATGAAATGGTGGATGAAATGCCTTGTATGGCCTGAAAAAACATGAAAAACAGCATGTCCTTCGCAACAGAGGGTGTTCTATTTCCAGGGAATCAATGTAGCTGGGGCTATCAAAGGTGACAGGCGATCCTCCCCAAACCAGGAAGCAGAAGATCATTTTGCAAAGCGACAGATCGATTGTGATGTTGATTCGGGCAGGGCTGGTAGAAGATGAGTGGAAGGAGGGAATGAACCCCAAGCACTATAGATCCAAAGAAGTTGTATTCAGTCCCAATCAGTGACCTTTCAATGGGTACTCCATGGTACCCCTACCCTCCAATAACAACCCCACTGGAACTTCTAGAGCAGAGCTTTTGGAGATTTCCTCGAACCTCTATGACTCTATTTGGTGGGCTGCATGTTTTTACGATCCATATTGACTTGTACATGAAGATCAAATCCATATAATATACCCTGAAACCAGATCTCTGTGTTGAACAGCCATGAGTCACATGCTATTTTGACGACAAACCTGGGGCCATGTCCTCCTAGGCGAAGCAAAGGGTTTGGCGCACTTGTTGCCCCTCAGCTGCACCGTGAAATTCTTGAAACGGATGCGCAGAGGATGGGATTATGATTAGAGAAAACCCGAAAGCCAAAATGGTGAAGTCTTTGTGGATAATTGTGGATATGTTCTTTTCACGTGAAAGCCGCCCATTGGGACAATTAAACGACATACGGCATACGTTATATATTCCAAGTGAACTCACCACCATTTCGGTTGGCTTATTTGAGTTGTCCTTCTGACCGGGCCGGCGACCGGGCCTTCCCGCAAGGACTGAGGTAGGTGTTTTTCAGCGGCAGGGACCTTGCCCGATCGGATGGTGTTTGTTAAATCTGATGGAACACCCACCGGACTACCGTGGGCTTGGGCGCATTTGGACCAGCGCATCCCCAGATTTCCTGGTCTGCCCATAAACTCGGACCCGGCGCGGACCCGCGGGGGCCGCGAGCCCGTGGGCCCGCGAGTCCGTCAAAATGACCTCAAGAGATCATGAGGAAGGATATAGTGGATGAAACATGACAGTTTTACTGTGGGGGGATCAGTGGGTGTTCAGTGGGGAAAGGAAGGAGAAGAAGCGAATCCATCCCTGCACCCACCCTCCATAACGGGATCCGCTGGCACGGCCAAAAAGGCTGGGGTGACTCCGACAAATGCTGGAGGAAAATATGTGGAAGGTGCGTTGAGTCCAGTGTGTGTTAAACTGAATTTGGATTAAACTTGTAACAGTTCCTGTGAATGAATTTTCAGATTTAACTAATAAGCCAGCAACTCATGTCCGGACTTTTCCAGACTTGGGTTTAAAGCTTATTGTGGAACACAACGGGAAACTAAGTTTCAGTGAAGTTCTGAATTTCTTAACCTACATGCTCGGACTTGTGAAAATCTAAACAGAACTTGTTTTCGGCATTAGCTTCCTGTGTAAAACTTGGAGCGGTTCATTTCCGGACTTTTACTGACTGAGTTGAGAAGCTGGGGAGGCTTCTCAAGATCAACCACAGGTTTATAGCTTAACAGCCGCCCAGGCTTCTTATTAGCTGCAGGTTTTTATGCCTTGAAGAGGGAACGGCCAGACGGTCAGACATATACATAGTCACACACGGCATGACGTGTAGTAAAATGGCCCGGACGCCTTTAGATGATTCTGGCAATGTTTAGACCAATCCATCTCTATGTACCCTCTGTTTGCAAGCATCTTGGCCCATTACATGATGCTTCGCACGCTGATGAGAGGCGAGCCTGTGATCTTCGGCCGGAGCGTGGTCGACAGCACGGCCAAAAGGTCCATGGAAGCGCACGTCACTCAAGATAGTGCATTGGGAAAGTTTGGTTCAGGCTGGCTGGCCTGAGCAAGCACAGAATTGGTGAGTTCAGCAAGACAGTGGATGATGGCTTGGGGCCAAGGTTGCGGATCGATTGATGAGCCTGTGTTGCTTGAGCTTTGAAGCATTGAGTCGCAAGAATCTTAGATGGTCGTGTGAACCTAGCAAACCTGAAGGTGCTCTGCCTGCAACTGAAAAAAACAAGTTCATCAAATCCATCTCGAACTTGGCATTGAATCCTTGGATGATTATGCCATTGGTATGGTGCCTCTCCATGATCGCACTGGGCAACGTGTACGCCAGGTCACTGGTGATGGCGTTATTTTGGTGCGTGATTTGGACCGCCTGACACCATATCGGAGGAATCATTTCTGCAGGGAAGTAAGTACAAACAGCTGAGACGCTCAGGCTTATGGGCGCCGACGCGAGCAACCTGCCACCAGAAGAGCACAGCGAGGTGGTGTTTGAGCCAGAGAGGCTTGGTTATGATTGTCGCCGAAAGGATTGGCGCGTCCAAAAATTGCGCAAGTGCATTGCGCCATGGAAGTAGCCATATTCATGAAGGCTTAGCTGAGAGGTGTATGCGCAGTTGAACACGACGTTGTCGCCTTTCGTCAAATTGCGCACCTTTCTGCGTGTGAAATCTGTTTTGTGTTCGCTGAGGTTGTGAGAGAGCAAATTGGAGGGCGGCTAAGAGTTGACGTTGTTGAACGGGTGAGGGGCCCACACACTAAGCTTATTCAAACAGGCGTCAAGGAACCATATGCGCATAATTAAATATGTGATATTTTTGTATTTGTGTCTTCCATCTCCGGTGTCATGGGATGGAACCAAGGGCACATCTTTTAGCGTTAGGTCACCATAGACTCCAGCTAGCAAAGCAAAGGGTCTGCAAGGAAGAGGGGACGTTAAAAATACAATCCGGGTTGACCTCGAACCCTTTTTTTTGTGGCTTCAGATCAGAAAAGACACTCTAACTCCCTTCTATGGCTTAGATGGCTGCCAAAAAGGTTGATGGGCGCCAAAAAGGTCTTGGTTTCTTGGATTGGCCTGGTGGAGCCAAGCCGTCTGAGCCTCTCCAAGCGTGTCGCTGGGGAGCGGGATGATTGGCTGTACCTTGGATCAGTGTCCAGTGAATTTCCCGCCACGCCCAGGCTACGTTGGATGAGAGAGGGAGAAGAGGCAAATCATGCACAGCCGGACTTTGGAAGGATCTGTTACTCGAAGCCTCAACACCGTGTTGAACTGCTATGGTCATATTTATAAATATGATAAATATATATATATATATACGCCGCATTCTCACAGCAAAAACACTGGCGTTTTTCTTGGAAGGCAATTATTGTGCGCCGTTCCCAGGGTACATTTCCATGATAAACGATGATAACCCAATATTCACAAATAATTTCAATATGTTTCAATAATCTTTGATTGGCGACCTTGCTCTCGATTTCCAGAAGGATCCGTTCGAGCCTATATTTGCAGTACCCAACACTACAGTAGGTTTCCAGAAGGGACAAAGCAAATGTGAAGTCCAGGTGTAATTCCTAAGCGCTCGGTGTACCCCTTCAGAAACCACCGTAGCCAGAGAAATGTTTCAGATTGGCATTAGGTTTCACCTTCTGGAAGTTTCTCGAGGAGCAAAGATGCTAGCTAGCTTCGCCTTTGTCCCTAGGATTGCAGCAATCAAGAGTATCGCAACTGTGATGCCATGGCCAGATGGCCTGCAGACTTCAGGGTTGCGATGGGAGTGTGGAGGAATGTCGGTTGCCCGTGCGAACCAAAAAAACCACCCATCACTGGCCATGTAACTTGTCCACGGGCCCGCCCATCTGAACCCAGAGCTGCAAATGTTGCAGCAGAAGGGAAACGACATTTTATATACAACATATGGCGTCGTTGATGCAAACTGCTCTCACCTACAGCCTTGTGAACCCCTTCCCGATACACTGTCTGGAAGTGGAACTTTTACCACCTGCTTGGTATTCGGAAAATGGTCATCCAAGGGATCAGGCTATCCACTTCCATGCTTAGTTACTCAAGGGAGTGCCAACGTGTTCCGACCAAATTGTAGTTATATTGGTTGAATTCTGACTTTATCGGCTTTACCCACAAGCACGGTTTTACTCAAGATTGTACACTATGAAACCTGGTCCACCATGTCTTTTAGTGCTCAAAGAACCCTGTACCTTCCCTGCAGTGACTCCTTTCTCACGCAGGTGGAAGCTGATGACGAAGTGCCAGACACCAAGGCGTGGCCGGGGAACAGCGGCAAGAAAAAAGAGTGGGGCTAGGGACCTTGGCTCCAAGTGGGAGGGGTGATTTCTGATTCTTGTGGACGTACGGTCCTCCTTCAATGTTAGTTCTATATTTGGCAGGTGATCTGTATCTATAGTATTTGCTTTTTTCCAAAAACCAAAAGCAAATCTTTGATTTAGTACACGTCAAAAAATGGACCCATAATTAGTCCATAATTTATACTACTACTATTACTACTACCACTACCACTACCACTACCACTACCACCACTACTACTACTACTCCTACTCCTACTGCTACTACTACTACTACTATTACTACTACTACTACTACTACTACTACTACTACTACTACTACTACTA